TTTATTATTTGCTTATGTATCTTATTGTTAACCGTGATATATTTTTGTTTTGTGTACCTGGCAACTTCGAAGCATCATTCATTTGTTTATGTTCTGCATGGCATCGAGCCTGTCTTAACACAAAGGTGTTAAGACTTTGTGTAATGATATATANGTTAATTAACGACAAGTTAATTAAATAAAGATCCGTATCGCACTTCGAATTAGGAATTACTTGAAATATAATTTTTCTCTTCTACTTCTTTTGCTTATCATGGATTTATTATTTGCTTATGTATTTTATTGTTAACCGTGATATGTTTTTGTTTTGTGTACCTGGCAACTTCGAAGCATAATTAGTTTGTTTATGTCCCACGTAGTTTCGTGCCTGTCTTTGTGTTAAGTCTCTGTGTAAATATATAGTGAAAGAATTGAAATCTTTGAAAAAAAATTTAGAATGTGTCACTTAAGAGAATTAATAATTGACGGGATTGGCTTACTCTAAATAGAATGGAAAGAACAGTTGTAAACAGATACCACGTTTCAACTACCAATCAGGATCGAGATACCCATTCTTCGTCACTTGTACTTAGTCCTTTATCAATCTCCGGTATCGCAATTCTAGCCAACAAAGATAAATTTCTTTGTATCAATTTTCGCAAAACAAGGTCAAGTTCTACAAACTTAGTCGAATAAATAATGAGCAAAAGTTGACATTTTTCACTCCGTCAAGAATCAATGTTTGCAAGCCAGCTTTGTTTCATCTGAGTTTTCGTTATAGTTGTTTATTGGAGGCTATTGTTTTTCACGTGGAATAATATTTTTTAATGAAAAAGATTTTATAACTATCGTGAGTTCCAGACAGTTATAATTGTTACTTTGAGTTTCATTCATTTCGATAAAAGTAGCAAAAATATGAATTCGAAAATAAAACACACCGTTCTTTAAAGGCAAATTGCATTAATGATTCGATTTATTTATTTATTTAAATTTTTTTTTTTTTGAATTCGTAAAACTGCTTTGTTACAACTTTGTTTGGGCACAAGAAAACATGATCATTTCTGGAAAAATACCACCAAACAAGCAATTTATTTTTAAAAAAAACTAATAGTTTTTTCAAATATTTAAAATACTTGTCAGTTTTTAAGTCTTGCCATTTTTTTCAGCAATAAGTTATTAATACTTTGGAATTAAAGATTTCTTTTAAGTTTAAAGCATCGAGGATTTCTTTACCTTCCATGGGAAAAAAAGAGCAAAAAAAAAAAAAAANAAAAAAAAAAAAAAAAAAAAAAAAAAAAAAAAAAAGGAAAAACATCTTTCAGAATAACTGATAAAGTGATATGATGAGCAAGTTTGACACTGCTAAATTTTTTTTCTTTCAATTTTTTATCAAATATTTTTCTTAAAAATGAAAAAATTTTTTCTTCAAAAAAAAAGGCCCAAACTTTCACATATATATATTTTCGTTTTTTTAAATTATATGAAATTGATTTGAATTCAGAGCGTAAATTCTTTGTGTTTATAAAAACTGTTTATTTCGATTCTTGCATTTAGAATTATTCTACATCAAAGTCGTTATTTATCATTTTGAATGTACACATACTGAAACAAGTATAATTCATATAGGAAAGATGCAAAAAATACACCCATTCGCAAAGAGCTGCTAACATACAACATAGATCATGCATTCGAATTCGTATATAAATACTCAGCATTTAAAAATAGGGATATTATACGATATAAATATTGTACTAATCCTTTACACGAACCAATTTTTTCTCACGACGCCATTTCCTTACCAGTTCTTTCAGAACATATTACTTTGGCAGCAAATCGCTGTTTTGGCGACTAAAAACTTGGTCGAAAAGAAAAACCTTTATTCGGACACACATTTTTCTTACGACGCCATGTCCTCACCAGTTCTATCAGAACATATTACTTTGGCAGCAAATCGCTGTTTTGGCGACTAAAAACTTGGTCGAAAAGAAAAACCATTATTCGGACCACATTTTTCTTACGACGCCATTCCCTCACCAGTTCTTTCAGAGCATATTACTTTGGCGACATTGAAAAATGTTGGTCCATGTAAAAGAAAATTACACAAATACATCCAATTCATATGCATTTAAAAAAAAATTTAATTAGTTTTTGTAGAATGGTACTGGAATAGGAGGGAACAGTTTTTGAAATACTAATGAAAACATACATAACATCCTGCGTTTGAATCATAATGCTACACATGTATTTATCAATATTAGCTTCAAACGAATCATATGTCAACTATAAAGGAAAAACAACTACATTATAAAAGTAGGTTGATTGAATTACAGAGGAATTTCTTGTGTACTTCATGCTCAATTATTCTAGAACAATTTGTCTCCATCTCTTCCTTCGTTCGTCGATCACTTTCTTAATAGAAATCAATCAAAATATATTGAGCCAAGAGTAAATTCGTTCTGTCAAAAAGTCGTGCATCAAGTGTAAACAGTTTCGTGAGAATTTTAATTATTTTAACAAATCTATACGATTAATAAAACATTTATTTCTAAACTGATTTAACTTGAAAATGAATCTAAATTGAGGATTCAAATTTTTACGAATATATATATATATC